AAGGTTCATGTCGAATCTTTCGGAAGATTTATTCGTTCAAAAGTGGAAACATCGATGGGACAGAAAATCTCGATCAGATCACAAAGCCAATTAGAAAACGAATCGAATGAATTGAGTTCGTCATTTCAATTTAGATCGAATTGATTTTCCAATTAATTCGATTTCATTTTGATCTTGGAACAGTGAAATGATGATCGACAGTCATCCATTTTCTTGTTCAATCAGAAGCGAAAGACCAACAATCGAAACGTCAAATCGAATCGATCAAAACGAAGATTTCGATGAATTTCTCCTTCGAGCAAATCTCGATATACTCTGTTTGAAACATGTATGAATTGTTGACTAAAGAAAATTGATCTCTTCCATAGATATATGTCTTGGTAAATTTCCTCTTGTATGATGCTTTGATTTGAAAACACAGATAGGATATATATGAGTAGAGAAGTATCAAAATTGTTGATTATAAAAGCAATTTGTTTTCTGAGAGTTAAAGCATGTCAAATGTACAGGATGCAATGTTTTGTACGTGTCACTATACCTCCTCGAAATATCATTAGAGACTTGTGGGTTATTTCAAACTCGAGTTCGTGTTAAAAAGTTTAACCTTTCTCAGATCTGTTTTCACTCGCTCATGTAGACAGAGAATGATAAATATTGATGAAAAAAAAACAACTTCAGGTCTAGACCTGATCGAATCCGGGTTCAAAAATATGCGCTCGCAGGTCTAGGGTTACCATCTCATGAAGTCGAAAAAGCGGAAGGTTCATTGAAAAAATGTGGAAAAAAGAGGTGTGTAGGTGTGGATGTGGATGTGGAGTGAAGAGACGATGAACACTCACCCACACCCATGCCCTTTTTGTTCGATTATTTTAGTTGAACAAACTCGGTGAAGAATAATGATCTTGTTCAAGTTTGAAATGGAATAGACGCTGAAAAAAACTGATTCGATCAATTGCGATCGATATACTCGAATTCATCAGTTTTAAAAAACGTGACCAAAGTTTTAGTTTGAAAACAGTTCCATGATGAATTCAATGTAAGGAACTTTGAATAAGAAGGCAACAACACAACTTTTGCTATGAATATGAATGAGATATAAATCAGCATCGAAGAAAATCTTCTGTGAACTTGTTACGAATTATTAAAACAATAAATTGAGAACCAACAAACACCTCTCGATCGAGAATATTTGTATATTTTTTTTTGAGAGTGTATGTGGGCACAAGTCTTTGTTCACTCACATCCACCATCGACTATTAATTATGCTATTTAGTGATTTTTGAATTTATTCACCTATATAAGCACTTAATAAATGACGGTCTAAGTTATTTGTTGATCAAACATTCACTGGATGCATTTCATGATCACGTCATATATTGATCGTGATCAGTATTTCTATATTATTTTCAACTTTTCCAATAAGCATTTCGAATCGGAAAAATAGTATCAACCCATTTTGAAAAAGCTTTCAACCTCTATTTCTTTTGAATCCTTTTATACCGAGATTGCCTCACTTTGTCTCTGATGAGGTTTTTCTGTCCTTAAGTTACTAAGTACAGAGATAAGACAAAGTCAGAATCCATGCATCAACGAGTGCACTTCAAATGTAATGAGGAATTATTATCTTACTCTTGCTTCTATAGTAAGAAGGTTCTTTTTGTTCTCATTCATTCACTAGATCTTGTGAGAAAATGGCATTGTTGACGCGGAGTATCATGGAGGGTGTAGGTGTAAATGGAGAGAAAACATTCACATCTACACTCATACCCAATCTCACACCCGACGTTGAACAAGCTTATCTTCACGAAAGAATTCTTATCAACGGTATATTCATCCTGAAAGCAAATATCGTCACTTTTCTCTGCTTCAAGAAGATGAACCGATCCTCACTAGAGATAAAACAATATTTCAACGTTGTTTAACTCACAAGGACAGTTATAGTTCATACGATGTAGGAATCGAAATTCTATTTATTACCTTCATCAGAATTAATCTATTTTCAAATTTTTTGAATGAAAACAAATTTGACCAATAGCTTGAACTTGTTTCTTATTGGTGATTCTACACACAGATTGAGTCAAGGAGACATACCTTTCTTGTAACCTATCAATCATTCATCACAGTCATACCATCAGTCATCTGAAGACTTGAGATTACATGCTTGACGATTTATAATCCGATTGATGAGATCAAGAATAAATGTTCAGTGTTCAACTCAAATTCCAATCACTTCCCATTGTTTGCCAATAAAATAACGATTGAAAGTTTTCAAAACATATCTTAAGAAGAATATTATTCGGTAAAACTATGTCTAATGTTGCGTATTGTGTATTCAATGGCTAGCCAATATAGAGTCAACGAATCAAACACATATTGTATCAAAGGAGCAAAGAAAGAATAACTGTATCGATAATGCTGTCAACCCTCCGCTGATGTCTTTTATCTCGTTTTCTCTTATGTCAACTTGTATTATATGTAAATTAGTCATCCTTGAATATATGAATTAACAATTTCAATAAAAGAATCTCGAATAAAACTTGAACTCATATCGATGTAGACAATACTTAATGAAATAATATAACAGTTCTTTTTCTTGTAATCATAAATGAAAGATAATGAGAAAATGTGACAGAATCGAGAAAAAACAAGAACAACTATGATACGATTACTTACGTCGTTATTTATAAGCGATAAAGTAACTATTCTCTATCTTACTTGTGGAATCATGTTTATTTTTCTTAGTGAATATTACCAGTGATCTAAATTCATTTGTTAACATTTGCTCAATGACAACTTTACTTGTTGTTGCACTTAATAATACATTATCATATAATTTTTAAGTCTATGTATAAGTAGTACATTGTTACTCTTGTATTTCAACATTGTCATGATTATGAACGCTTCTCTCTTAATAATATTTCAGCTTTTCATAGAATTTGTTATCATTTGAAGAACTTAAGTCGGTAACAAGTGAATTGTGCACGAGTTGTACTGCAACTCAAATCGGTAGGGTAATTGGAGATATATCAACAAAAAGTGCTCTAATATGGTGATGGAGAAGGATCGGATCAGGTAATTTTTATGGCTAAAATTTCATGATTTTTTTCTTTCAATGAAATATGTGACCATTTATTTCTTTATATTTTAATTATTTTATTTAAATAAATTATCTCTGAGATAAACAAGAAATCTAAGCAGCTATATATAAATCACATATAAATTACAACTGATGAAAAAAAAAACATCATATTGTTTTATACGAGAATTGAACATTGAATCTGTTAGATTTGTAAGTACACTATAAAGAAGGCAAAAAATGTAAGAATCGTTTCGTGCGAATGATTCGTATTATATGTTATTTTAAAGTACAAATGAGTAATACACGTGATAGTTTGAGTTGTTTTGTCATATTCTTCATTCAGTAAACTTTGACCAAGATAAGAAAAAATGACATCATTATAAAGATATAACAAGACAATATAAAATATACGCACATTTGTTCTTGCCATCATCAAGGTAAAAAAAATGAATTTAGATAAATCAAATTTACATTCTCCACCACCGTATAATTATGCAACAATACAACCAACTAATTCATTTACCAATCCATTTACATCTAATCAATCTTCGCAATTGACTGTCGATGAAAAAGAAAATGAAACAAAAGCAACGTTAATGAAGAATGACAATAGTACTTCATTTGGTTCATTTTGCTTGGAATGTATGCAATGCTGTGCAGCAACGGTGGAATGTCTTCTATGTTGTTTTACGTGTATTCAATGCTTATCAGAATGCAAATAATGATCTCGTATAGAAAGAATATTGTTCATTTGTCAGTTATATATTTTCAATTTTTAAATAAAAAAATAAAATAAAAAAATGAATTATTCTTCATTGATTATCAAAAAAAAATTGACATATTTTTTTATCATGTTTGTAAATATTCTAAGCGACCATATTATCTATTTTGAACACATTCAGTTTCAGATAAATTCATATTTGAACAAAATTATCGTTATCAGCACTGTTCTACTGATTGATTCAATCTTACATGAATAATTCTATTTTCAATCAGTTAAGATTCTTTAAAAAAAGCGGTAAAATGGTTTAAAATTTCGGGTGGGTATGGGTGTGGGTGTATGAACCTTCTGTTTAGCCTCACCCACACCCTGTTAGATTGCATCGGGTTCAGTCACTTTTGGATGTTCGAAATAGTCATCGGACAGATATAGGTACAAGCGATTCTTGCCGACATTCTGAACTGAGTAAATGATGTGCAAGAGAAAAGTTCGAGTGAAGAGCCTTTGCTATTGTCATTGTCTATAAAATGACAACCGAATGTTAGATTTTGTTGAACATCTTCGAGAGTACCATCGATACAATTCATCATGAATTGTTCCCCAATGGTGAACAATTGTTGACAATCACGATCTGAAAATGAATTCGATGAAGACCGGCTAACTCGTTCATATTTTTTTCTGAACCTGTCAGTGGATTGGAAATCCAATTGGTTTCAGTAAGAGAGACTTTGCATCCTGACTTGTGTTCGATTGAAGTACATTGTCCGAATTTGACGAACGATCATATCTGCAATTAATCGATTGACTTGCTGTGCACTCTTGTGTGGACATTGTGAAAAGATTTGAATCCAAGCTGTGTGCAAAAACATCCGAAACGGTTTATTGGCAAAATCATTCTTTCAGACCTGTTGTCTCGGTCTTGCATACTGGACATAATGTAGGCATATTATCCTTTTTTGAAGAACAAATCGCGCAGAAGCCGTAATGACCGCAAGGATAGAATGCAAAGCGTCGTTCCCCAATCAGACACTGAGCACATTTATCATGTTTAACTGGCGCTAGACGTGTGAATGGGCCTTCGTCGTTCATTTGTGAATGTAATTGCTTTAGTTTACGATGGCATTTCGAGCAGAAAGGCTTTCTGGCATTACTACTGCCACTTGAAGAAGCGAAGATTCTGGCACGTATGACATTTGTTGAAGAGGTCTTATCCGTCATGCAGCAACAACAGACAAAATTGGAGACGACACGCGGTAGATTGTTAATTATATGAACAAGTTCATATTCGTAAAGAAGTTGAAAAAAACTAGACCATATGTCAGTCATTTTATTCTTCAGAAACTGCTCGATATCATCTAAAAACTCACTATCCAATTCAGATGAAGGTTTTTCGGCAGTAGAATCAGTGCTGCGAAATTCGCCAAACCATTTAGCATCACACGACCTAGGAAACAACCAAGAAAGTAAGTTATCATTAAAATACACAACCTCCGACGCCTGATGGGTGTCAGAATGATCACCCTTGTTTTGCAAGCAGAACAGAATGTGATCTCTGTTCGCCACGTAACCCTGACCCGTGTAATATGCTTCGCACGGTCGAAACGAATCAAGATGCTTCCAGAGCGCTCTCAAATGAAGTTTGCCTGTGTAACACAAGTCAACACTGTCACGAACTGTGGATAATTGATGCCATCTTAGCGAAAGTGATCGAGCGAGAGCTTTCATTGCAAAGCGACGACAAAAATGAAACCAGCGCGTCGAATGCATTTGATTTTTTCGATTATAGAGAGTAAGAAACAGAAGTAACACGCCATCGTATAGAGCACAGTCTTTTTTCTCTATAATGGTACCCAACAGAATGGATTCATCAATTTCACTTATGATTGGTACTTGATTTAGAAGCGATTGACTAAAATGCAACCACTGACTGTGGGTTAATATACGATGGTGCTGTTTCTGAAAGATTTGAAACAAATAGCTTTTTAACTTTGTTAGTGTATCATTGAATATGTTATGACCGTTAAGTAATTCTTTACCCATATATTCACAAACATTCTTATTTGGGAAATGAAAGCATTGGATGTCCGAAAAGTAGTCATATAATGCAGCAAAGTTAGACTGCTTTCTAAATGGGGCTTCGGTTCTTTCCGATTGTAAGCAATCAATAGGTTGTGCAAAATTACAGATACAGACAAGCACAGGTTTATAATGTATCCTATAACGCTCACTAGCACATTTGGCAAAATTTACACAACGTTTCATATAACGATTCGAACCGAATCGTTCGCGACCCACGAATATCACCACGTTACTTAAGGCATACGCAAGCTGCGGAAAGAACTCAGTCACTTTTTTAGAACGCTCGTGCATATCTTCACTTGAGGAACAATGATCGTGATCTATATTATCCTCGATATTCTGCTCGAACATCATGAGCGGATGCTGGTTACCTTCCTCCCCTTCGTAATCCAAGAGTAGGGTGATTGTCGATGACGGTGTGATAGATTCCGTTCTGAAGCATGTAACGTCGGATGATGTGGGACCTGTCCTGTCAGGTAGAAAAATTGGAGCACACTGTTCACTATCGTTCACTGGAATAAGATGTCGCGTCAGATATGTCTTCCCAACATCTGTATCGCCTAGCAAAGATACTATGAACACATTGTTTTCTACACCTCCGCACACAGACGACGCCAAATTGGTTTCTGTGTCGAAAGCAGGTCCTAACTTCAGCACCCACTGACCAGTTTCTTTATGCAAGCGGATAAATACTTGTCGCTCATGAAGATTCCAAATGTTCATCATGAATTCAACTCCGTCTGATTTTGCTGCAGTGATCACTAAAGTAGTAGAATTTTGCGACTATTCTACGACTGGTTTGATAAAGAGATTGTGTTCTTACCACCAAAATGCTCAGTTTTTGTTTTTTCTAAAAAAATATTCTTGCAACGGGCTTCTTATCTAAAAAATGATGATAATAGACTTTTGAAGAATAATATTAGTTTTATTATATATTATTTACTTACTATGTAAAACTACTTTGTTGTACGTCAGTAGATTTATTATTAATATCGTGAATATGTTGAGAAACAGTAAAACAACAGAAGAAAACTCGATAGAAACAAAATTGTTTAGAGAACTCGTCAGTGAGAGTAAGTTCTGAATCAAGACAACGATAATCAACAGACATATATATATCTATATACACGAATAAATTGGAAAAAACCATATACATTATATACTGCATACTGGGAAGGGTCCAACATATTATGTTGATATGAAACGCGGAAGTAAGGGAAAATTATAAGTTCATAAATTAGTCCATAGGACTTTTTTTTAACAGAATCCCTACTATCTTATATCAAACGAAAGATGACGCTGAGACAAGCTTTTGTGACGAAGGGATCAACTTTTTTTTGGGCATGCAAATCAAAAGGATGATTGTGGATGGATGTGGATGTGGGTGTAGGTCTTTACTTTCATACACTGACACCTGAATCCGCACCCACACGCGCACTCGTCCACACCCACACTTTTTTATTACTCTTTCTGTCAAAGCGCAGTGAAACATCGTTTTAATGTTTTTCTTCCTATATGGAAACAGTTTTTTCCAAGCATCTCGCAAAACTTAAGGATATTTCAGTAGATAACATTGAAGTAGAGCTGTTGACATTCATCGAAGTAACAGGGTATCGTAGATAAACAAACGTTGAGTAGAAGAAACAGAAAGAATGAAACAACGTATAAAAAGAATGACGATAACCCTAAAGATAAGTCTGCTTGTTTTATTTCCTGCGCAGTTAAGCTTGAAACATGGCTATAACAACGTCAGTGTCACGGGAAATAGGTATCGTGGTCAAAGATGGAGATACCGAAACAGTCATACCAACATGTTACTATGAATGGACAAACAAGTTAGTAGTCGCCGATGCCTTTCGAAGGAAATTGGAGGAAAGAATGATAGAGGATCTTGAAAGTGGCTTCGATTCAAGGAAAGTAATCGCCATAAGTCTGTTGGGTTGTCTAGCGTGTGATCGACAGTATGTGGCTGGCTGCTTATTTCGTCGTAATCCGTGTGTCAATCAATTTGCAAATAGTGACACTACGACATTCATGACTTACTTCGAGGACTCAACGCTTAGCAGATTTACCTTGCCCAAAAGAACCGTCGTCATATTTGAATATGTTGACGATTATGAACCGGCCGTTAAGTATACGTCTGTAAAACCGGCTTTTGATCCAGTACGCAACGACAAACTTTCGTTTCAGCTCAGTACTATCGTAATGCTATGCTTTTCACGCTCACATGGGTACTGGACGAATCAACTTCAATTTATTTGGGAAATGTACCTCAATCAACTTGATCTGTTCGAAAACCTTGTTTTTTCTGTCAGTCAACGTTTTTCTGCGTGATTTAATATGATATTTGCCTAGTATATTACATGTCTTTTGAACATGCTTATCTCGACTGATCCGAGCATCTCTAGAAAGCCCATATTAATTCTTATTGAACTCTATACCCCAATGTCTGCGTTACCAGACACGGAAGACACGAAGATTGTCGATACTGAAGATGCGAAGATCAGGTTTTGTCACAAATATCCAGCTTGTGCTGACGAAATACAGAAGTATTTTTCAAAGTTTTATGTGTGGCCTTTACCGAAATCCAGTAGCACCGATGTGGAAAAAAGATTCGATTTTTACATAAAAGAATTCAATCAAGTTGTAGAGAGCGCCGCTATAACCAATGATACAAATCCACTCATTTTTGAACGTGACCAATGGTTATTTCAACTTGATAGATTTTTAAACTCTATTTTCATTGATGTCAGAAAGAAATATATTTGGAGCGTCTGTCCAATAACCGATCAAGCTCTGTATTACTTTCAATATTTATATAGACAAACTTCTTTGAAATCCGTAAATTGGTTTAATTTTTATCGTTTTTTGACTATCAACTTTCTTGCTCATGTTATCGCTGCGCATTGCTTTATAAAACGAATGATAGTAGATGTGGAAGAAATTTCCGACCTAACTCAGTCTCTCTTGGATTCACTTTTCAATGACTTAAATTTGCGGCAACCTTGCGGAGCAATTTACAAAGGCATCGGGTACTCGAAAGATGGTTCCGTCATTCATTGTTACCAGCCAAGAAATGCTCACGGTACCCACCGAACTGCGCAACTTGTGTACGGCATTTCCGCGTTCAAGAAAATGTTCAGTATCGCCGCCACTGATCGTTGGAACGGAAACTTCGTCTCCTGTTGCAACGAACAACCCAGTGCCGAGGAGAAATCCCGAGTGAATTATCTGGCTAAAGACTACGTCTACAAACTTGTCAATAGGAAAGATGCTAAAATGGATGTTGACATGGCACTCATCAGGCTCCTTCATCAGAGTAATATTTACCTAGAGGACTTGATCGGTACGAGAGAAAGCTTCGGATTACATCTCCTTTGCGTGCGCTGTCTTGGTTTTAATCGAGTGAATGAATATGGAGTTTGTGGTAAGTGTGAAACGGAACTAGTGGAATATTTGCAATTAAAATCCAATAATGAACTACCATTAACGAATACTCAATTTGCAATGGCCTCTGATTGTGTTATGTGCGTCATGAACCAACGTGATTACTGCTTGTTGCCCTGTGCACATTTCGCCTATTGCTACGAGTGCGCGATGAAACTGATTCGCAAGTTTGGCCGATGCGCCATCTGCAGAGAAGCAGCCGTTACCACATTGAAAATCACTGAAAGTTGACTGAGAGTTCGACTTCATAGAGAAGTTGTTCTTCTGTTGTTGGTTGAAAATACTCGTCACGTCCGATGATTTACGATTAACGGCGTACGAAAATAGTCGAGACGTCATTTCATTCGAATTTAATAGGACTCTATTAAATTTCTCTTTGTGAAAATGATAAATCATGTACATGTCACAATGTTAATGATGGGTGTAGGTGTGGGATGTAGGTGTGAGGTGTGAGTGTGGATGTGAGTGCTGGTGTGGGATGTAGGTGTGAGGTGTGAGTGTGGATGTGAGTGTTGGTGTGAGTGTGGGTGTGGGGTGTGGATGTGAATGTGGGTGTGTGGATGAGGGTGCGGGTGCAGGTGTGGCAGTGCAAATGATGAGATATGATGCACCCATACCTCGACCTGAAAACTTACACTCATTATTTTCTTCGAAAATATACATGAGTTCCATAAAATAATAAAAGAACACGTCAAACACATCAATGAACATATGCGATTCATTTACTACGTATTAAATGTGGATTTACACACTTTGTTACTAGTCCATCTGTTCAATTAAAACTTTATTCAAAACTAGCAGACATACTAGTCATTCGATATTCATTAGATACGGATGTAGAAGAATGCTGCAAATTATTTGAAAAATTCGGAAAAAAAAATAATAAGTTTTATCAACCAATACTTTGTGAGTAACAGAACACATTGGCGACAAATTAAATGTTCAGTATTTTTTTGTAAATGTTCAGTAAAATTTGTTCAGTATTATATACAAATTTTCAGTAAAGAAATCAAAGTATCAGCATAAAATTTTATGTTCGGTAAATATTACGTTTGTTCAGTTAACTAATTGTTTGCTCAGTAAATTAATAAATTGCTCAGTATTAAAATTAAAGTTTCAGTAATTAATTCAGTTTGCTGATTAAAAAATTCATTTAATCAGTAAAAAGTAGTATTATTACCAGTAATCACTTATTTTTTCTTATAAAAATATTTTGATTTAAACAGACGAGCGATTGTCCGCATTGACTTATGACGATGTCATGATTCAACATACTATGTTATATGGTAACCTTCGATAATTGTATACATAAATTCTATCACTTATCGATACTATGTTTTTTTAACCTGCTTTTTCTATCCTGGTATAGTTGTTCGATCTTTTACAGTTACATATAAAGAATGAATACATTGTATTCTCTCTTTGTTCTCAATGTAATAAAGGTGAAGAAGATTCTCGATATCGTCCGCTTGTTTGCTTCTTTGTCTATTCCTATATAAATAGCTCGTTTCTTCTAAATAAGTTGAATTTTGATTAACCATAATTGCTATTGCTATTTTGATATTAAAATGGCAACGGCGCTGGAAATTGTTGAAGTACCAGCTTATGTTTCAGACGATGAGGTGGATCCCAATGCAATTGTCGACAATGGAAATCAAAAACGTATGAAAAAGAGACAACGAAATTGGGTAGAAGAAAAGGTGTTTAACAACACTGAAGAAGCTGAAGAGGTGGTGATCAAAGAAAATCAATGGAGTTATCATTATACAAATACAACAGCTGCAGGAAAAAAGAAATTTTTTAGATGTAATAAAGTCAAAGCTCGTGGTAAACAATGTGATGCTGGTATATATTTATTATTTGATTCTACAAATGATAAGATTTTTTTATTTCGTGCCACATCAGATCATACTCATGATAGCACACAAGAAAAACCTTCAAGAATACCAAATGAAGTAAAAATAGTTATACAGGAATTATATGAATTGAAATTGAAACCGAAAGCAATAATCGAAGTACTTCATGAACGTAGAATAACACCACCTAACATTAGCCAATTAAATAATTTTTTAAGAACCATTAAGAATACAAAACTTGGTCCAACTTCAATTAGTCTTGGTGAAATTGAACAATGGTGTTTAGAATCAAGTCAATCAATTCCAGAATCAATTGATACTCCTTTTGTTGCATCATACCAAATTATTTATGATGATGATAATGAAAATGACGATGTCGATGATGATGATGTTAATGAAAACAAGTTTCGGTTTTTTATTACAACAAAAAGACTTCTACAAATTGCTTCAAGGTCAAAAAGAATTCATGCTGATGCAACATATAAATTGTTGTGGCAAGGATTCCCGGTTCTTATTGTCGGTACAACTGATCTTGATCGACATTTCCATGCATTTGGTATGTCTGTTTGTTCAAATGAAACAACACATGATTTCAGATTTTTATTTCGTGGTTTACAAGAAGGTGTACAAAAGCTAAATTTAGAAGAAATTAATCCAGAATTTTTAATTGCTGATGGTGCTGATGCAATACGTAATGCTTTTCGAGATGTTTTTGGAGAAAAACCAATGATCATGTGTTGGGCACACATGCGTAGAAAAGTGATGAAAAAGATAGAATCAATGGTGAACAAATCAGAACAGGAAGATTTGATAAATGATATAGAATCTTTACAACTAGCACAAAACGAACGAATATTTTTAAAAGCTTCAAATTTATTTGTTAAAAAGTGGGTGAAAAGACAACCAAGTTTTATAGAATATTTCCAGAATGAGTGGTTAACAACACATAATGAATGGTATGAAGGAGTTGGACATTTTACACCAAGCACAAATAATGGTTTGGAAGCAACTAACAATGTTATTAAAAAGGAAAATACACTTCGTGAACGTTTACCTTTATCAAGATTTAAAGTATTAGCATTTGAAATTGTTGAAAAATGGTCCAAGTCTTATGAACGAAGTTTAAAGCAATACAGTGACAAGCAAACAATATCATTGGAATTATGGACAAGTGGATATCAATGGGTCAAATTAAACAAATCAATACTTTCATTTTCGACTGAATGTGATAATTTAGTTCAATATTATATACCTGCTGGGGATGGAACAAAAATTACAAACGTTGATATTGATGTGATGAAGAAAATGAAATGGTACTCTTTTGATCAATATAAAAATAAAGCATTCAATATTTGGTGTGTTACATTACCAACAGATAAATTAAAATGGTTGGATGGTGTGTGCAATTGTCCAGCATTTTTCAAAAAGTTTATGTGTAAACATGTTGTTGGTTTGTCAATTCGATTAAACTATTGCAAACCACCACCTGCTGCTAAAAATATTCCAATTGGTGAAAAAAGACGTCGTGGTAGACCAACAAAATCCAAAAAGGCGTTGCTAGTTCAATAAATTTTTGTTCATTCTAATTACATTTTTTTTTACTGAAATAAATTATTAAAAACTGAACAAAAATAAATTAAAAACTGAACAAAAATAAATTAAATACTGAACAAAAATAAATTAAATACTGAACTTTTCGAATTATCTACTGAACTCCTTGAATTTTTTACTGAGCAAAAAATAATTTTTTACTGAACAAGAATTACTGAACATGTGATAAAAAATTTACTGAACATTCATAATAAAATACTGAAATATTAAATACAAGCCGAACACATTTATTTGTGCTTAGAAAGAAGCAATGGCACACTGAAGAGAAAACTCACATTATTTTCATAAATAAGCATATGCATTACAAAGAAGTAAAGTTTTACATGTTAGCGCAAAATCACTTGTGCATCAGTTCTCATCAATACGGTATTGTGTTTACAGAAGAATTTAACAAAACTGAGGTTATCATACGAGACACCGCTAAAACTTTATCGTTCATATGCGAGTAGTATTCTCTCATGAATATAATAATATTGTGTTTGGCTTAGTGAGTGTCTTCAAACAAAAAAAAGTCATACATGGTCGTTCATGCTTTATTTACGAGGAAACTCCTTCAACTGATTCCAGGCTTTCGGCTTCATATTTTGGCTCTAGGTAGGTCTCAGTGAGCCCAAGAAAATTCTAGAAGCGTTCGTGCCCATAGGCTGCTGATCAAAAGTAACAGCCATTATACTGAATATTTAGCTTACTGCACGGCATTCATAGCGAAGTGAAATAAAAGTATTTTGATCTAATATTGTATTCATAAGCAGGTCTAATGATTCCTAACATGTGCCAAAATTTTCAATTAAAATGGTTCCTTCCGTCTTCAGATATTCAATTTGCACGACAGCTTTATTGTGGTGACCAGTCTCTTATAAGTGGACATTCTTTGAAAATCGAATATCTGAAGAAGGAAGGAACCATTTTAATTGAAAACTATGGTACACGTCAGAAATCATTAGACCTGTTTATGGACACAATATCAAATCGAAATACTTTTATTTCACTCCGCAATGAACATCGTGCTGTAAGCTAAAAGTTCAATAAAATAGCTATAACTTTGGACCAGTAGTACATAAGCACGAACGCTTGTACGGTTTTCTTAGTCTCACTGAGACGTACCTGTAGACAAAATATGAAGCCGAACGCTCGGAATCAGTTGGAGTAGTTTCGTCATTAGACGAATTACCATGATTTAGAAATTTTCAAAATTTTGTTGTTGACTATTATTAGAAGTTACTAGAAAATCCATAAGTTTTCTGAATCAGACTACGTCTTTCATATTTCGTATTTTCCTACCAAAAGAGGACTCTAGCCTTTCACTTGTTTAATGACTTTCTTCACAAAAAATAAAAGAATCTAAACTACCTGCTCTTTCTTCCAATATAAGGGTGTGGGTGTCGGTCTTTAAGTTCTGGATCATCTCTCGACCCACACCCACACCCTATACTCACATCCTCGTTTTCGTCTAGTGTAGTGACTGAAAATTGTTCATAGGAAGGATGCAAGCCGTCAGAAAAAGTATTTGCAGAGAGAGCAAAAAATCTGTTTCACCATAGAAATAACTTATTTGGCGGCGAACAATCCTAGTTTTTATCGCACTCGTAGCCACGCTACTATTTTCATAGAAGATATTTTCTTCAATTGAACATGTTTATGTCAAGAATGAAGTTTGGAGATGAAAACCGAACAAATAAACCCTTGAGGTGCAATGAAGATACAGTTCAAAGTATAAATGAACATGTCTGGATATAGATCGTGGCTTCGATTTAATCAAGATGCGAACTTTTGTCAACCATTTACAGTCAAAACTACATTTTTTTAAACTTTTTTTTGAAGTTATTCTAAGTCATCGTTATATTGGTAACCCACTGATCAACAACACCAATATTAATGTTTCAAATGATGGCACAAGCCTATTAAATGCTTATATCACAAAAATAATTGCTTATTACTTTTATCGCGATTTTTTCTTCTATAAAGATTACTTTTTCGAAGCGAAATGAAGTGCTTAAGAAAGCAATGGAGCAATATCGAATTTCTATTTATCTAAAGATCAGTTCATGCGCTTCTTCACTTTCAGCGAATACTAAAAACATCATCTATTCATTAGATATAAAGATGGGTACCGTCGCTATTCTGTCTCATTTTAAAGCAAGCGATGGTTTCAACAGTAATTCGTTGTTTTGTATTCCTTCTATTCAGGTAATTCTAAAACCTATTTTTACCTATTCATCTAATGTTGAACAATCTTTCTTTTAAGCTTTACAGGTTTGATTCTTATTTTGTATTACATATTCTCCTATTAATTTTGTATGTCGCTAGTTCGAGTGAAATCTTAATTCTGCAATGGGATTGCTCAGTATAATCGATGCTCGCCAAATAGTGCATGTGCGTGTTTCCATATAGCAGGTGCTATTGACGTTGGCATTTGTAGCGATGAATTTGTCGACTGTTCTGAGCTAGTTCCATGCGAACACTCAAACAACATTTGTAATGAACCTAACCATAGATGTGTACATCATCCTCGATGTCATAATCTTTCTGTTTGTTATCCGGTACCGACTTTCAATCGACAACTGTGTCCACCGATAGCAAGTAAGAAAACACACAGTGATCTATAGATTCAAGTGGAATTCGAATCTTTCTTAAAAGTTATTTCTTCAACGTTCGCCCATCTTCACATATGTAATTCATGTTGGTGTAGGAATGATGGATAAGAGCCGAAAAGGCTTTGAAAACAGTACATAAAGTGCGGCAGAGACAAAATAAATTGTAATTATTGAAGAAAAGATCTCATCTATTCTCATGAGCTATATTCATTACATTGGAATGCAGAGTCCGTTGCAGCTATACTTAGCAACATATGAAAACGCAGTGAACTTTTGAGTGTACATCTGATAACGAAACAGATTGAAAAATCAATCATTCGATTTGATTCAATTCTGCAGAATATATCAAATATTTGGACATTCATAAGTGCACATTAATTCCCCTATACTACGTTTCACTTGAGTCACAATGGTCGATGTATAGTCGACTGATTGTTGTGAACATTAAATTCACGTAGCAGCCTTTTCTCCAACAAAATGTGATTGAAAGCTAGCGCGAAAAAAAACATATTTATAATTCTTTCCGTCACGTTTCTAATGACTAATGATGCTAGATCAGAAAAGCGAGCGTGTTCAACATTCGATATCTCAAGAAGGAAACATTGTTTTTTGCTGAAATTCTTATAACATTCTAATGACCATGAGAGCTATCTATGAGCAAAATTTCAGGAAAAAATTCCCTAATTCGCTTAGTTCATATATGATATGTCTTCCCAGAGGCTGAAAATCCGCTAAAATAGTCATAACTCGAGATAGACAGCGTATAGGGACGAATCCTTTTAAGCTTCTTCTAGTTTTATCAAGCTCTACAAACTGATAAGTACACGATTCAAAATGGTACGTTACACTTGGGAACCTTTCCTCGTCAGTAAGATACGAAGAAGCGCAGACTTGATATGGCTACTTATTTGGAGACTGTCTGAGTGCATCAAATATTTGAGAAATCTTTCTTAAGAGAAGAATATAAAATTTAAAACTGTCTGATGACGAGTGAGCTAAGAAAGAGTTCGTGACAATTTATCTCTACAATATTATTCTACTCATTCAAATATCCCTTTAAATTTATTTCACTCGTATTGTTGATTTGAGGATAGAATATTCTAATGACCTGAGATAAATCCACTGAGAAGTGGACTATTAATGTGAGTGGTTGAAATCGTGAACTTCATACTTCGAATAGCAATTTTATGCTGTAATGATAGTCAATCCACCTAAGTCTTTATTTGTATTCAAAATATAACAGAAATGATAAATTTGAGCTGGACATGCTTTCATTTTGGTATCAAAACGCTAGTATAAGTTGTTTCTCGGTTAGATTTTCCTACTTTTAATTCTTATTGACATATTCCGAAAGACTAGCGATATGAAACCCACAAATAATTTATATGATGCTCAAGAAGAGACGATATTTTCGTTCTCTCAGGAGTCTCTAACCGATCTCCAAGATTTCTCAAAATCAAGAAAGTAGACATGATGAATCTAATCCATCTCGTTCGATTCGTCTCAATTCGTTTCATTCGGTTTCGATCTCTGATATACACAAAGGTTTTTCGTCCAAAATCAGTTTTGAAAGGAAAAATTAGCTTGTCACACTATTTGAGACCATCACGCTACTTGAAAATACTACTTAAGCTTTACCTAAAACTTGAGTGTACCAAGCTCCATATCACATTCTAAGCCAAACTTAAAACTGTCTGCTTTGTTTACATTAATGTTCTATCATAATGAATAGCGACGAACCCTACAACTACAATTACAACTACAACTACAACAACCATTCAGCAGTTAGGTAAACTTTAAATTAACACTTCTTGACCTTGCTAAATGCTAATTTTTAGTCAGGCATACGTAGTTGCTTTATATACAATAATATTCTGCAATTAGATAAGGACTCTATTGATGATATCAGCGATCTTACAGTATGAATGATGCAATCTTTATTATAAGAAAAAGTCAAGTAATAGTAATCTCCCCATTGGCTATTTTTCACCACTACCGAAGATTGCTTCATTTTTTGACATCTATACAATAAAATTCTGTCTTCTTCGTTTAATACTGCCTTTTGACACAAAATTCTTTATTTGAATTTAAAAAGCAACTGTTGATTTCATATTCTATAAAAATGCACTGTATTTTAAAGACATCTTCATTCCTTCTTCATCTGAATTAGTCAAAAGTCAATTAGTTGATCACTTGAGAATATCCGATTTTTTGTGTTATTAAAGATTCAATGTAGATAGCACAAACATAAGACGCATGGAGAAGGGAAGGGTGAAATAGAACTAGTTCGGCTATGAAAATATGGTGACAAACCTGGATGTTGTATGAAAACTACGGTTGGCAAACGAGATTTTTGCTTATTTC